GTCCACTCCAGAAAGTACTGAAATAACATCTAAAGAATGTGATGAAGCTATGGAAAAGAGACTAAACTTATGGATTAATGAGATGATGACTAATTAAAAAAAAAAGCATAGTGGACAGCATTGTTGTAAGGCTAACAGTAAAAGAAATTTATGGTCGTGTTATCCAAATTCAGGAAAATAGGATATCCTTCTCGGTTAATATCTTATTATAAAGATATACTGCATATAATTAATTATTTATAAGAAGCATATTTTAAATTTGATGTCTTCAAAGAAAAGCATATGTAAAACAAAGTTACATATTGTTCTGTTGATGCAAATGTTGTGACCAGAGGCTCACAGGAACCAAACCTTGTATTTCTATTGGAAGCTATGGCTCAGTACTTGCTAATTCAGTGCTCACAGCAACTACAACTTTACAGAACATGGCTGCCAAGAATAACAAGACTCAGCTGTGCATGTGGCATAGGAAAGAGACAGGGAATAGACAATTACTCTACCACGTGATCAACATCAAGACAGGACCTTAATGATCAATATTAAGAATATCATGAAAATGACTAAATGAATAATAGGTTTCACATTAAATACGTTTTTTCTGTACAGACTTTTTATTTTTATTTTATTTTATATTTTAGTTTTAGGTTTTTTTTGTTTGTTTTTGATAAGAGACAAGGTCTCGCTATGTTGCCCAGGTGGGTCTCGCACTCCTAGGCTTAAGGGATCCTCCTATCTTGGCCTCTCAAAGTGCTAGGATTACAGGCATGAGCTACCATGCCTGGCCTGTAAAAACGTTTGAAAGGAACCTTTACATTTTTGCTCTTTAAGTTATTTGCTGATAAGAAACATTTAATTTTGGCTATGATTTCTTGACAATCATCAGAAACACAGGAAATTGTGCAAAGTGAGAAAATCTAGCACACAAATCATTTTTTTGTATTTTTTTTACAAATCATTTTCAAATATAATTCAGTTTTTATAAATTAAAAATTTTACAATTAATGTTACATTACAATTAATGTAAAAATTTACAAATAACATTATGTTTGATGGACAATTACATATTTATTATTGTCAGTGTCAGTTTTGCAATTTTCATTTTGTAGCCAATACTTTTTTATTTCAATTCATTTTTTTTTTTTTTAGGCTCTGAAAATGTTCATAATCCTTGGTCGCTAGGGGAGGATCCAGATTTAAGGATGCTGAAGCTTATATAGTTGGTGGGCCCTCTTAAGATGAAGATCACAAAATGACAAATACTGTACAGAATTAGACCTCTTGGAAGAGGCATTACAACTTCTTAGTTAATCTGCTTCTGTGAAACACTTACAACCAATTGGATAAAATATCCACTGCAGAAGCTGCCCTGGGTAAAGGAAGACCAGGTAGGAAACTCTGGCAATATTCAGGAAAGAGATGAAAGCCCAAACTTGGGGATGGAAAGGATGGGAGAAATAAGAGAGATATTTAAAGGTAGGTCTGACAGGACGTGGTATTTGATGAGGAGCATGTCAGGAACGCACACTGCTGAATGACTGAGTGAGTCAGAGAGGAAGGCAGATGGGGAGATGGGTGGTTGGGTGTATCAGGCTTGGAAGAGAAACGACTTCAGGTTTGGAAATATCTAACCTGAGGTGCCTTCCAGAGGAAGCTGTATGGAAGCCATTTTATGTATATGTGAGGTTCAAGAAAGGGGACCGACCAGTGCATAGACAGGTTTGGCACATGAATGGTCTCTGAGCCCTGGGAGTTGATGAAATCTCCCAGGGACTTGCATAAGCTGAGAAGTGATGCATGGTGGGGCTAGCACCCTAGGGAACACCAAAGTTTAGAGGTTTAGAGGTGCACAGAAATAGAACAAAGAAATGTTAATGCTGTTAATTGAGTACCTGTAGGCGCCATATATTATGCAAGATGTGGGTTAGAGAAAGCTGAGTCAGGCAGAGAGATTGTCAGCTGGGGCTGGGGGTGAGGGAGACAGGTGGCTGAGCTTGGAGGGTGGGCTTGATTGGGCCTTTCCAGATGAGGGAAGAAGTGAGCAAAAGCATAGAGCTAGAAAACTGGGAAAAGGGGAACAGTTCATTTTGATTAGAATATGGAATATCCTAAAAAAGAGAGGGAAAGAGAATAAGAAAGAGACCAGCCTTAACATGATAGTTGGAAATTCAATTATGGATGCTTTGAAGGCCAAAATATCAAGTGTAGCAATGAGAACTTCTGATGATTTCCCAGCAGGGGAATTTTGCAGGCAGAACTGAGACTGACCTTCAGGAAGTATCCTCTAGCAGACAGCCACACAACTGGCACTGCAGAGACAAACACAGGAATGGTTCGGGGCAGCCAGAAGCTAGGGAGCCAGGACTCGGGGTGTCACAGTAGACATACAGGGGAGGGAATGAGTGTATACAGAGGAATGGCCAGGACCTGAGGAACGGGGGCTGATGGGCTGGATAAGTAAAAGTGTATATAGCATTTACTGAAATTGCTTAGCCCGGCCGGGCATGGTGCCTCACGCCTGTAATACCAGCACTTTAGGAGGCCAGGGCAGACGGATCACAAGGGGTTTGAGACCAGCCTGGCCAACATGATAAAACCCTGTCTCTACTAAAACTACAAAAAACAATTAGCCGGGCATGGTGACGGGTGCCTATATTCCCAGCTACTCTGGAGGCTGAGGCAGGAGAATTGCCTAAACCCAGGAGGCAGAGGTTGCAGTGAGCCAAGATCGTCCCATTGCCCTCCAGGCTGGGTGACAGAGCAAGACTCAATCAATCAATCAATCAATCAATCAATTTTTTTTTTAAAAAGCCCATAAGCCCAAGAACCCAAGGGAAAGAATAGAGTGAAAGCCACAGGGTTCCTTCTCTGTGTGACTCCTCCTTGCTAAATTTGTGACTGTAGCCTCGGATCGAGACACTTCACACTGTAGGTTGATAGGAAGATCACGCCCAGCTCAGCACCCACATTTCCCCATTCTGCTGATTGCGGTGTTGTTGTTTGTTTCTGTTTAGTCCCAACCACAGAACTTGGTTTTCTTCTGGTGAAATTTCATCTATTTGGATTTGCCCCTGTGCCCCACTTTGGTTAAACTCGTTTGAAATTTTCTGTCTTCCCTGAAGGTGGCCACTCTGTTTTTCATCTCTTGTCTTTTAGATACCCCACCTTCTGGGTATAACATAGATCATTCTAAAATAGGAGTTTGGAGAATAGGGATGGAGGAAAGGAAAGAGGGAAGCAGACACTTTCTCTTCTCTCTCAGGTTCCAGTCACTGGTTTCCTGCTGACTGCACCACTTGTCCCAGTCCCCAAGGACTCACTAAGAATCCTCCCATGATCAGCCACCGTGAGCTTGCCACCTGAAACTGCCCACAACTGCTTCTTACTGGATCCACTTCTGGTGTTTGTCGAAAGGCTACTCTAAAAAGTTTCCTTGGCCAGGCATGATGGCTCACACCTATAATCTTGGCACTTTGGAAGGCCAAAACAGGAAAATAAGCTGCTTGAGTCCACAAGTTTAAGACTAGCCAGGGCAACATAGCAGTCTTTACCAAAAAATGAAAAAATTAGCTGGGTGTGGTGGTATGCACCTGTGGTTTCAGCTGCTTGGGAGGCTAAGGTGGGAGGATCGCTTGAGGCCAGGAAGTTGAGGCTGCAGTGATCTGCAGCCATCTCAAGATGCAGCCACTGCACTCCAGGCTGAGCAACAGAACAAAACCCTGTCTCTGGGGGGAAAAAAAATGCCTTATCCTTCTTGAAAACTTAGTAACCTCTACAGCCAGGCGTGGTGGCTCACACCATAACTCCAACACTTTGGGAGACCGAGGTGGATGGATCACCTGAGGTCAGGAGTTTGAGACCAGGCTGGCCAAACCCCATGGCAACACCCCATCTCTACTAAAAATACAAAAATTAGCTGGGCGAGGTGGCACAAAACTGTAGTCCCAGCTACTTGGGAGGCTGAGGCAGGAGACTTGCTTGAACCAGGAAGGCAGAGGTTGCAGTGAGCCAAGATTGAACCAGTGCACTCCAGCCTGGGAGACAGAGCCAGACTCTGTCTCAAAAAAGAAAACTTAGTATCCTCTAACCTGGATTGACTACATGCTGTGCAGGGCAGCTTATTTAAAAATGATGAAGAATTTCAAGATGGCAGCAGCAGAGCATTGTACCAAGCGTGGGCCTTTCTGACTGAGGCTCTTCTGGAGCATGGAGCCCTGTGACTGCACAGGTATCATGCCCACAAAGTCAGCACTGCCTGTGGCTGAGTGTCAGCACTTTGTGAGATGTGATCTCACACTTCATCTTGGGTGTGATGCACACACACCCACCCTCCGGCACGCCTCCACACCCTCCGCTCAGCCACTTCGTGGAGATTCATTTCTAGAGACGGATTCTCATTGTGTTTCTCCACTGAATCCACCTCCTCCCCAGTTAATCTTTTTCAGTCTTCAGTTAAAATAGATGTTGACCTTCTAGGTGGGTTTGAGTAGGATCACCCAGTTGCAGGATGAGAAAGAAAGAGAGGTCTCCTTGGCACCACTGTTCACATGCAATTCCAGTACTAAGGGTAACCCAGGGAGTGGCTGACAGCTGAGATTCTCTTCCTGGCGAGGAGGGCCTGGAGTAGGTTGAGAACACTGAGCATGCCACAGATGGGATCCTTACATTTGCAAAATCCCACTTGACAACAGTCCTGTTCATTAGCAATATGGGTGTTATAATGATGTTTTCATCTACGTGAGGAATCCAAAGCCCAGAGAAGTTGTCTCCTCTAGATCACACAGCTAGGAAATGGCACTGTCAACACACGCCTTCTGAGCCTTGAAATAGCCTGCTTTTCTCTACGCGCACCAGTCCACAACGGGACATTTTACAAACCGTAGCAGAAGGCTTCGAAGCAGCTTGTCTTCTATTTGTATATTAAAGAATCAACCGTGATCTCTGCCTTCCTCCAAAGGTAATAATTTTCCAGCTAATTTGTATTTCTTGTTCTGACTCTTCAGAGACAACCCTGCTACCCACTTTAACCTCAAGACACACATGAATTCTCAAGACCTGAAGACAGCCATAGAGAAAATTCCCCAGAGAGGAGGGCTTTCTAATGTAGGTATGTGATCCAGATTCAAATTATTCTATCTTGTGACCATTATTCTCTTTCTACGTGATTGCCTTCTAACATTGTATATATAAGGAGGAAAAAATAATACTAATTCATCAAGAAATAACTTCTGGTCAGGCGTGGTGATTCACGCCTATTATTCCAGCACTTTGGGAGGCTGAAGCTAGCAGATCACGTAAGGTCAGGAGTTCAAGATCAGCCTGGCCAACATGGTGAAACCCTGTCTCTACTAAAAATACAAAAATTAGCTGGATGTGGTGGCAGTTGCCTATAATCCCAGCTACTTGGGAGGCTGAAGTGGGAGAATCACTTGAAGAGGCAGAGGTTACAGTGAGCCAAGATGGCGCCACTGCACTCATCTCACTGAGATGAGTGAGACTCCATCTCAGAAAAAAGCAAAAAAAAAAAAAAAAAAAACAAAAAAACAAGAAAAAGAAATGACTCCTGCAACATCTGTATCTTTTCCAAAGTATTATCTGGCCACAGAGGACAAGCATCTGTGAAGCACATTCACTGCACAGCTCCAGCATGCTTGGTTTGTGGGAAGGAGTAGCATTCTTCAGGGCAAGAAAGACTGCTGTCCTGACTGTTTTTTGGTGGGCCTACAAGTCATCAGCTGTTTCATTCAATTTTGTGTCCAGTTAAGGAAGGTCCTCAGTGCCCCTTGAGAATCTTGTTCTAATCAACTACTGCTGTAGTGATGATTGTGCAAAGAGAAACATGTTCTCTATTTCAAGCTGAGACTCCTGGGATATCTGAGCCTTTGGGGGTGCACCAGAAATCCAAGGTCTGGTCCACAGTGGGACATGTCCAGAAATTCTATTTTGTGTTTATCCAGAGGTGATTGGGCATTAGGAAACAATTTCACACTAACCAAGCTCAAAGACTGAAAGATCCCATGCCAGTGTATTCATTTGTCAATGAAGGACTGGCTTTGGGGGCGCTGGAGGGGAGACTGTCCACTTCTCAGGGAACTGTTCCTGTCATCAAAATCCAAAGAAATGGAGGTGTGAGCCAGCCACAGTTTCTTGGCTTAGAGCACATGCTGGGAATCGAACAGTCTTTAAGGGAGCATCCTCAGAGTTACAGTAAATCTGATGGATGGTTTCCCTTCCCACTTCAGTGTATGTCTCTGCAGTGACCAGAACATTAGTATCTAGCACATACAGAGCTTTTCACCTTTGAACAATGCTAAATAAACACTAGCCAAGTCACTCTCCATGCCCCCAAAGCAGTATTACCTTCATCACAAACATGATTTGTCCGGAGTTTGGGTTCTGAGAACAGAATCCATTCAGGTTATTCCAACTCAAAGGGATTTATTTCAGGGTATTAAGCAGTTTTGAGAATCACCAAAAAGAACTGAACAAGCAGACATTGGGCTGAGATTTAAGAGTTGTATCTGAAGGCTTCCTGCAAAGCAGGAAGGTCCTTCCAAAGCAGGACCTCCAATGGAGCTGCTCCTTCTTCCAAGATCAGGAAATCACTTTCTGAATTCTGCCATGGCAGCCTCTTCAGAAACCTGCTTTGTTCAGGAAGCCAGCATGATCAGGAAGCTTCCACTAGAACTTCCAGCTCCAGAACCATGCCCTCCTTGCCCCATTCACACCCACAACATGGATGTCCAAACCCTGTCACCCCACAACATTAAAACTAGCAACCAAGTCCAAGCACCTCTGGTGACAGTCTCCCAGAGAAGTCGGATACTAAAGATGTTTGTCAGCAAAAATATAAACAAACTACAGCCTCTGTCTCACTTTTATCTTCTAAATCTCATGCAAGTACATCAATTCATGGAACTAAAACAAAGCTAAAGCCTTAGCTGCAAGGGAGTCTGGAAAACGTAGTTTTCTGATTTCCAGCCTCTATTTTTCAAGACCCACTGGGAGGTGGATGGAATGTGTGTTGAGCACTTATACATCACGGCCTCCAGATTTAAGGCTAGGCAGAGTTGAGGGGATCTGCTCATGGCATCCTGTGCTCTGCCTACAGGTGCCTAATATTAGGCCAGAGGGGACTTCTGGGTGCTTTGAGCTCTGAGAAAAATTGTCCTTTGGCTGTAAAAGCAGTTCTCAGCAGCCAAGGTTTTCCCTTAGCAACTGGGTTCTGTGCAGCCAGTTCACATGGGTTTTTCAAGACATTTCTCAAGCATCTGTACATGTAACCATTTGATGCTTTCATTTGACAGGTAAGATAATACCAGCTAGTGGAGACAGGATGCTTGCCAAAATCAGAAATGCATTGAGTATAATAATACTAATCCTAAAGTCAAAGGAAGGAGCTTGTTAACTTTTATGGAGATTGAGGACTCTCCTTTGAGAATCTCATGAAAACTGTGGCTCTTCTATCCAGACAGATACTTATATACACAGAATAGTACGCATAATTTCAAGCGCCCTGGAATTCACAAAGTCCGGGTTAAGAGCTCTGCCTACTATATACAGCCATGCTGACTCTAGGGTGAACAGTTGTCCCAGTTTTCCCAGGAGAACTTGGGGCTTTCAGTGCTAAAACTGGAAACAACCTGGAAAACTGAGTCAATTGTTCATTGTCTAGTTGACTCTGAAAATTTCCCGAAGCCCTTCTCACTGCAAAATATGCTCTTGGAAAAGTCATGGTGGAAGGCTTTGTAGCAGTTCATGACTGCTGTACTCAGTTGAAGTAGATTGCTGTCATGGAAATCTAGGCCCACAGATGTACGGTGACCTATTCAGGGCCACACAGCTAGCAAGTAGCACAGCCAGGACTAGAACACAGTCTCTCAGTTCCTAGTGGGTGCAACTCTTCCCTGCCCAGCCAGACCTGTACGCCTGGCCTGCAACTGGAGGGAGAACACTGCTGACCCCAGAACACAGCTCTGCACAGCCAGCAGGAGCCCAGGCTCACCTCAGGCTGCAGAGGGCCAAGAAGAGGCTGCCATCACTCCCAGTCAACTCCTCCCACCCTATATTCCCGGAAACAACATGGGGCTGGCTTAGGGGCTTAGTGTGAGTCCAGCAGAGAAGGGGTACTTTTATTCTCATGAAAGTCTTTCTCACCAGCTTGCTGTCTCTAAAACTTTCTTCAAAGCAGAGACAATTAGAAGTTAAAGGCTTGAAAGGAAACCAGAATGGATAGTGGTCATGGCTGCATATTGTGAATGTACTTAATGACACTGAATTCTACACCTAAAAATAGTTGAGGTGTTTGTTTTTTTTTTTTGAGACGGAGTTTCATTCTTGTTACCCAGGCTGGAATGCAATGGCGCAATCTCGGCTCACTGCAACCTCCGCCTCCTGGTTTCAGGCAATTCTCCTGCCTCAGCCTCCTGAGTAGCTGGGATTACAGACACGTGCCACCATGCCCAGCTAATTTTTTGTATTTTTAGTAGAGACAGGGTTTCACCATGTTGACCAGGATGGTCTCCATCTCTTGACCTCGTGATCCACCCGCCTCGGCCTCACAGAGTGCTGGGACCACAGGCTTGAGCCACCGCGCCCAGCTAAGGTGTTTTTTTAAAAAGAAACAGGTTGGGCGCAGTGGCTTATGCCTGTAATCTCAGCACTTTAGGAAGCTGAGGTGGGCAGATCACCTGAGCCCAGGAGTTTGAGAACAGCCTAGGCAGCATAGTGAAACCCATCTCTACAGAAAAATACAAAATAACCAGGTACAGTAGTGCACACCTGTAGTCCCATCTACTCAGGAGGCTGAGATGGGAGGATTGATTAAGTTCAGGAGGTTGAAGCTATAGTGAGCCATGATCACACCACTGCACTCCAGCCTGGGTGACAGAGTGAGACCCTGTCTTAAAAAAAAAAAAAAAAAACAACTAAGGAGGGAATGAGTGTGTTTTTCGTTTTTCTGAAACTTCTTGTGCTACTGTGATCTCTTCCTGTATTTATAATCAGCATGATCGCTCCAATCACGAGTTTTCCTTTTCTTCCAGGCCGGGCCATCTCCTTTGTGACCAAGAACTTCTTTTCCAAAGCCAATGGAAACAGAAGCGGCGCTCCCAACGTGGTGGTGGTGATGGTGGATGGCTGGCCCACGGACAAAGTGGAGGAGGCTTCGAGACTTGCGAGAGAGTCAGGAATCAACATTTTCTTCATCACCATTGAAGGTGCTGCTGAAAATGAGAAGCAGTATGTGGTGGAGCCCAACTTTGCAAACAAGGTAGATGCCCAGAGACCCACCCAACATCAGGCTTTTCTGCACTTTGAGAAGTTATAATGCCGTTGCAGTGGGTTTCCCATGCCTTTAAATGTGCGTGAAGCTCATTTCTAGGCAGTAAGGCCTCCAGGGAGGGACTGGTCAATTCAGAACCTGCAATTACCCTCTCAGAGCAAAACCCCACATCTCCCCAAGGCCAGCAGCTTTGGAGGAGAGTAGAGGGGCAGTGCCCCCGAATTCTAGCTAGGTTCTCCCTTGCTCCTCCCATAGCCCCAGGGGAGTCTCACCCAGGCAGCCCAGGGAGCCTTCACACTCACGCAAGCGAACATATACCCTCTCTCTCTCTCTCCTTTCTCTCTCTCTCTCTCTCACACACACACACACACACACACACACACACACACACACACACACTTTATTCTGTATACACACGTTGCCAATTAATGAACCTGATGAATGATAGAAGGGAGGCACTGAACCACAGCAGTGAGATGGCGTTTTCAGATGCGTCTCCTGGGTTCTGTGGAGATGCCCAGCAAGAGATGTGATCGAGGCCTCCCTCACTCACTCCACCAAAGCTGCTCAGCTTTTGTGCATCTGGTACAATGGAACACCACATAAACCTTCCTCCAAAGAAGAGGCTCCAGCTTTAAAACAGAAAGAAAGCCTCGGACAGGTTTGTCTTTAAGGCCCTTCCGGCTTTAATATTCTATGTGTTCAGAGCCAGCAGGGCTCAACCTCCTGCAGCATCTCAAACTGATGGCCACTTCCTGCTTTTTGAAATGCTCTTCTCCTGGACTTCCAGGACCCGGCATGGCTCTTATTTCATGACCTCTTGCCTTTTTTTCTACCCTCAATGTGGACCTCCCCTGGTCTGCACCCCCTTCTTTAAAAGGCCCTGTCTCTGCAGAATCCCTTCCAAGGTCACAGCTTCCGCCTTCATCTCTTGAGCTCTTAGCCATCCATTTCCAGCTGACTGACTTTTCTCTACCTGATGACCTGTCAGAACCTTAAAATCCACCTGTGACAAGCCGAGTTCATCATCTTCACCCCAAACGGTTTCCTCCTCTGGACTTTACATGAATGACCACGTACCCGTCCCAGGGGGCAGTGTCATCCCAGAACTCCTCAGCAGCTTCCACATCACAAATCTCTCTCTCTCTCTCCCCGCTCTTCCCCACGCACAATGCCCCCTCCCCAGTTCAAGCTGGTACCCTGCATCTGGTCCTTCTCCCTGCCAGTGCTCAACCTGGGTTCGTTTAGATTTCACAGTGAAGCCCAACTCACGTTTCTGATTCCAGCCCTGTGAGGTCCTTGCTCCAAATCTTTCATTGCTACCCATTGCTCTCAAGGCCTTCTGGGGTGCAGTCCCACCCAATCTCCTGGCCCATTATGGTATCATCCATTATGACCTCCCACAGCCCTGTGTTCCAGTCAACTGGTCTCCCACCCACACCCAGCACCGCCACTGTCTCCTGCTGTGACTTCACTACCTGGTGGGAATCCCTCCCTCCATCTGTTGGCCAGAATTCAGCTCAGGCTCAGCACTTACCTCACATGTCACCAGTTTCATGGAAAGTTTTGTTACCCCACTTAGGTGGATTTTTTGTTTGTTTTTGTTTTGAGGTGGAGTCTTGCTCTGTCACCAGGCTGGAGTACAGTGACATGATCTTGGCTCACTGCAACCTCCTCCTCCTGGGTTCAAGCGATTCTCCTGTTTCAGCCTCCCCAGTATCTGGGACCACAGGCATGCACCACCCGCCCAGCTAATTTTTTGTATTTCAGTAGAGACAGGTTTCACCATGTTGGCCAGGATGGTTTCGATCTCCTGATCTCAAGATCTGCCTGCTTCGTCCTCCCAAAGTGCTGGGATTATAGGCATGAGTCCATTTAGGTGTTTACAAATCAATTTAAGAAAAATATTTCCCAGGAAAGTTTGAAGCCATCTCTTGTTCCAAAATAACCTTTTAATTAATTATCCAAGGCCATCAGTAGTCATTTGGTCTGACTCTTTCTGTGACCCAGAGGCAGGGGTAAGGAAGAAACACCATGCCTTGGGAACACTATGCCACCCACTTCCAGAAGGGCAACAACCAGTTTGCTCAAGGTGTATTTGCAGCTGCCTTGTTTTTTTCTGGAATAAACTTAGGCACTAGTGAATAAATATTCATTTGCCTGGAGGCAGGGTTGTTTGCTTCTGAAGGTGGATAGATTTGTGTTCCAATCTCATGGACTCAGGAAGTCCCTTCATAGCTTGGTTTCTTTATGGCAGGGGGTTATGATTCTACCTTGCAGGGTGAGGGTGGGGATTAAATGAGAGAATCATTCCAAGAGCATCTGATGGGACCCCCAACATGTGGTCATTCAGCAACTGTGGGATCCCTTCCCACTTGGTGACAGGCTGCTCTGGAAACACTTCTGTGGTGATTTATTGTGTATGTCATCTCTTTTCCCAATCGGAATAAAAACTTTCTTTAGTCCTCTCATGCCATGGTGCCCACCAATGCCAATCTTATGGCTGGCTGCCAACACAAAGGGAGGGGCCTGGAGAAGCATACATGTGAAGCTGATTCCGGAGATTTAATATCTCCCTATGAATTTGCTTAGCAGACAGCTTTCCACTAATGCAGGCAGGGACCCAGCTGAAATTGAGGGAGTGGGACTGAGTCCAGAGATAACCCAGGGGCTTTGCCTCAGTGGGTGCCCGCTGGGTGAACCAAGATGGAAAAACGTGATAGGAGAACTAAAGCAGAAATCAAGGTTCTGCTTGCTTCTTCATCTGCCCCGGGGATCAAGCCTAACGGTGACACTGGAGGATCTGACCCCGACCTGGTGTGGGTCCCTCCCCTCTGTCTTCCAGGCCGTGTGCAGAACCAACGGCTTCTACTCACTGCACGTGCAGAGCTGGTTTGGCCTCCACAAGACCCTGCAGACCCTGGTGAAACGGGTCTGTGACACCGACCGCCTGGCCTGCAGCAAGACCTGCTTGAACTCGGCTGACATTGGCTTCGTCATCGACGGCTCCAGCAGCGTGGGGACAGGCAACTTCCGCACCGTTCTCCAGTTTGTGACCAACATCAGCAAAGAGTTTGAGATTTCTGATACGGACACGCGCATCGGGGCTGTGCAGTACACCTATGAGCAGCGGCTGGAGTTTGGGTTTGACAAGTATAGCAGCAAGCCCGACATCCTCAACGCCATCAAGAGGGTGGGCTACTGGAGTGGTGGCACCAGCACGGGGGCTGCCATCAACTTCGCCCTGGAGCAGCTCTTCATGAAGTCCAAGCCCAACAAGAGAAAGTTAATGATCCTCATCACCGATGGGAGGTCCTATGACGACGTGCGGATCCCAGCCATGGCTGCCCATCTGAAGGGTAAGCTGGGTTGTCAAGCAGCCTGGGGCCGAGGCATCTTTCTGGAGCTTGGTGGGCCAGTGGGACAAGGAAGCTATTGTCTTTTTATGCATTGACCTTTTCTACAACTTAATAAAAATGTACAAAGCTTCAGGGAGGGCGTTAGAGGTAGAAACACTGCAAGCCCCTCTGAGTAGGGAGAGAAAAAGGACAGGGCAGCAAGGTGGTCTCCTAAGTGGCATTACAAACCCATGGCCTGTGGATGACTGGGCACATTAACCCTTTCCTTTACAGCCTGCACTCTGAGGCATTTTCCACAAGGGTGTGATACATTAAAAGGGAATTGAACTCATCACTTTACCTCTATTAAAAACACCAAACCTCTATCTCTATTGAATATGACAAATTGTACTGGTACCTAGACCACTAAATTGTGTTAGCAACTTTTATTCCTTTCTTTATGTATGTACATATGTATTTATGTATTTATTTATTTATTGAGAGACAGAATCTCGTTTCATTGCCCAGGCTAGAGTGCAGTGGCGTGATCTCTGATCACCGCAACTTCTGCCTTCCTGGTTCAAGTGATTTTCCTGCTTCAGCCTCCCAAGTAGCTGGCATTACAGAAGTGCGCCACCACACCAGCTAATTTTTGTATTTTTAGTAGAGACGGTGTTTCACCATGTTGGCCAGGCTGGTCTCGAACTCCTGACCTCAGGTGATCCTTCCGTCTTGGCCTCCCAAAGTGCTGGAATTACGGGCGTGAGTCACCATGCCTGGCCGTGTGTTAGTACCTTTTAAGGAATAATAATATATTTAAAGACAAGTACTCTTTCTGTAAGCGACTGTTAACCAGATTTCGGGGAGCTTCAGGGAAACCTGAAAGGAATTTTAATTCAGATATTTAAAGAGGCCAGGCATGGTGGTGCACGTGTATTGTCCCAGCTACTCGGGAAGCCGAGGTGAGAGGATTACTTGAGCCCTGGAGTTGAAGGCTGCAGTGATCTATGATTACACCACCACACTCCAGCCTGGGCAACAAGCAAGATCCTGTCTCAAAAAAAAAAAAGTTCAGAGAGCTGTTTCCACATAAAAATTTCTATGAGGGCAACAGAAGTTTTAAGATATGAAAAATGAGCAAAATATATCTGTAAATGTTTAGAAAATCAGTAATACTTACGCCTTTATTGCAGAATTTATGTATAAGCACTGTTCCAAAAAGTGTCATATGTTATCAAGAATATAAACAGCCTGGAGAAAACCACAAGTGATAATAATAACAGTAATAATAATAAAAGTAAACCTTGTAGTCAAAAGTAAACCAATGCCCTGTAGATAAATATGAGTGTACACAACTCACTGCTGTGGTTGTTATTTCTCCTTATGTGCCTACATTTTTTTTTTTTTTTTTTTTTGAGGCAGAGTCTTGCTCTGTCACCCAGGCTGGAGTGCAGCAGCATGATTTCTGCTCACTGCAACCTCCGCCTCCCGGGTTCAAGTAATTCTCCTGCCTCAGCCTCCCGAGTAGCTGGGATTATAGGTGCCTGCCACCAAGCCCAGCTAATTTTTGTATTTTTAGTATAGATGGGGTTTCACCGTGTTGGCCAGGCTGGTCTTGAACTCCTGACCTGTAGCGATCCACACACCTCAACCTCCCAAAGTGCTGGGATCATAGGCATGAGCCACTGTACCTGGCTTCTGTACCTACATTTAACTTCAGTAATTTCGCAAGATTTTCCGAATTGTTGAAAGCTGCTTTCATTTCTTCCTAAAACAAGCCTTAATGAATAAACAGTGCTGGATTTTGGAATCCAAAGTAATCAGACACTGGGTTCAGGCAGAGTCTTCCTGGTGATTTGCTTTTTATGGTGCGGTGCTCAATGCCCGCATGCCAACAATCACAAGGTCCACCGGACTCATATCAGCAGAGTGAGGATGGATTAAGGCTCAGAAGCAACCGGCCTGAACTCCCAGATTGAATGGGCAGAGCCAGGTGGGCCAGCTTTTGACAACAAGCCCAAGGCTCTCCTACTTTCTCTAAACATCTGTCCCCCGTTTGTGCTCAGTTCCACCATCATTTATTTTTCTAGATGACCTCTTTTGGACCTCACCCAGAGGAGATCCTTGGCCTACTCATCAGGAAAAATGAACACTGAGGGAAATGGCCTGGGTGCTCTCAGGACAGCTTTAATGAACTACGACCAAAAGATGCAAATTACCTAGGTTCTTACTCAGCCTAACGCTGAGATCGGTCTGAAAATGTAGTGAGCATTGTGTTCCTGGGAGTATCCAAGTCAAGGCTGGGTGACCATCTGTTAGAATTGCCAGTAGGAGATTCTCTACAACACGAGTGGACTTGGGATCTGGAAAGCTAAATTTCCTTCTTTCTTTTCTTTTCTTTTCTTTTTTTTTTTTTTTTCTTTTTTTTGAGACAGAGTTTTGCTTTTGTTTCCCAGGCTGGAGTGCAATGGAGCAATTTTGGCTCATTGCAATCTCCACCCCCCGCCCCAGGTTCAAGTGATTCTCCTGCCTCAGCCTCCCAAGTAGCTGGGATTACAGGCATGTGCCAGCACACCCCGCTAATTTTGTCCTTTTAGTAGAGATAGGGTTTTGTCATGTTGGCTAGGCTGGTCTTGAACTCCTGACCTCAGGTGATCCACCTGCCTCAGCCTCCCAAAGTGCTGGGATTACAGGTGTGAGCCACTGTGCCTGGCCTGGAGAGCTAAATTTCTAGTACTGTTTGCAAGTTTTTATTTAAGGACAAGCTCTCCATCTTTGAGCAGGAAGGAGGGCTTAGTCTGTGTAAGCCCAGCTCTGCAGCAAAGCTGCTCTCACTGACACCTGGCAGCACTTAAAAGTCCAAAGCTGGCTCCTTCCAATCTAGACAATATTCAGAGAAAAGAAACTGGAGGGGTGAGAAAAGGGACTGGCAACTGAAATGCAACTTAATGGACCACAGTCAAAAAGCAGCTTAGGTCAGAGCCACGTGAGGTAGGCATGGCTCTCCCAGGCACCCAGAAGATGCTAGAGATAGTGACACCACTGTGGGGGCCCCAGGGGATGATGCCAGGGCAGGAAGTCTACATCCAGGCTCCACCCTCTGTTTCATGGCCATTTTGCTCACCCCACTCAGACCAGCCTGAAGGTGGTGTGGGAATAGGGTATTGTAGAGTAAGGTCATGAACCTGCTGACCAGCTGCCCACAACCCAAATCAAGACCTATCACCCCAGGCAGCCTCCCAGCTTTCCCACTAAGAATGGATGCCTTGTCTCTGAATCCTGTCCTCTCCGCCCTGGGTTACTTCTCCCCACCGCAGTCTAACACCTTCAGTCTTATTACACTCCTTCCCATTTGCACCTAGATGGGCTCAAGTTCCTCCCTCCCTAAATAAAACATTCTCTGTGACTCCACGTTCTGCTCCAGTTACCACCTACCGACTCCCTTTCACAGCCAAACCTCAGGAAAGGAGCTGTGTGCACTGACCCACATGTTCACTTCTTTCTCACTCTCAACAGTAGTTCATTTGGTTTCTTTGGCCCCTTCTCCCCTGAGACTGTTCTCGACAAATTACCAATGTCTTGTTTTCTTTTTGCTTTCTTTAAATTCCAGTGAGGCCAGGCGTGGTGGCTCACGCCTGCAATCCCAGTACTTTGGGAGGCTGAGGAAGGAGGATCACTTGAGGTCAAGAGTTTGAGACCAGTCTGGCCAACATGGTGAAACCCTGTCTCTACTAAAAATACAAAAATCAGCCAGGTGTGGTGGTGCACGCCTGTAATCCTAGCTACTCAAGAGGCTGAGGCAGGAGAATTACTTGAATTCAGGAAGTGGAGGCTGCAGTGAGTGGAGATCACACCACTGCACTCCAGCCTAGGCCACAAACTGATATTCTGTCTCAAAGCAAATGAAAACCCATTGAGCACTTTTTCATGTTCACCTTACATGACCACCCTGCAGCACCCAACAGTGTTGGGCACCCCCTTCTTTATCTTGGAAGCCTTTCTTCGTAACAGTGATGAAGCCGATGCTGGGGACCATCTCTCTGGCACCTTGGGCAAGGGTTCCTGCACTGGAAGTGAGGTTGGATTCAACCGTTTGTAAAGTCACCCTCAAGCCTAAAGTGATGACACTCCCTGTTTTGGTGTAAAAGATGTTGAACTGGCCAGGCACAGTGGCTCACATCTGTAATCCCAGCACTTTGGGAGACTAAGGAGGGTGGATTACCTGAGGTCGGGAGTTCGAGACCAGCCTCACCAACATGGAGAAACCCTGTCTCTACTAAAAATACAAAATTAGCTGGGCATGGTGGCTCATGCCTGTAATCCCAGCTACTTGGGAGGCTGAAGCAGGATAATTGCTTGAACCCAGGGAGGCAGAGGTTGCGGTAAGCCAAGATCACACCATTGCACTCAGGCCTAGGCAACAAGAGCAAAACTCCATCTAAAAAAAAAAAATCTTGAACCAGCTTTTGATGCATTTAAGGCTCTGTTCAGCTCTCCGCACTGGTAGCAGGCGTGTTTTATGTGTCTGCGTGGCCCCAAAACTTTCACTTGTCCCAAAATATCTTCCCCTCTTTTATTCCTGAACACAAAATTCTTACCATGTGATTTACTCTATTTTGTTTATTTTTTCTCCTAAAAGACTATAAACTCCTGAGATAACGACTATGTAAATATTGTTACTATTAGCATATAGTGTATGCTCAAAAGCAGTTACTGAGTGAAGGAATGAATGGCCATACTTTGTCTTAATTCTGGAAACCTAGAGGTCTGCAGGGGGTTTTTGGTTTAGTTTGGTTTGGTTTGGGCACGTTTCTGATTTTGGATTTGGCTGTGCCAACAGAGCAACAACAAGGCAGAGATTCTTTGGCAGTTCCTTTTCTTGGGGACATTCATTCATCTAATCTTTGTCCCCGCAGGAGTGATCACCTATGCAATCGGCGTTGCTTGGGCCGCACAGGAGGAGCTAGAAGTCATTGCCACTCACCCCGCCAGGGACCACTCCTTCTTTGTGGATGAGTTTGACAACCTCTACCAATATGTTCCCAGGGTCATCCAGAACATTTGTACAGAGTTCAATTCACAGCCTCGGAACTGAATTCAGAGCAGGCAGAGCGCCAACGAGTGCTGCTTTACTGACTGACTCTTTGGGCAACACCAGCGCTTGAGGGGGCACACACAGGGCATCCAGGCGTGGGAAGGGCTTGGGGAAACAGATCCCCTGTTGTTATTCTTTGCCATCAGGCTTTTTCATACTCCAAAACTTGGAGTGACAAAGAAGATCACAAATTTATAGAATGAGCCGAAATGCTACATCATGTTGAGGGCACTGGGGATTTTACGTTTTGACAATTGTTTTCTAAATAAATGTTCAGAATGCAGTGCAGCCCTTATGACAGGCTCACATAGAGCTTTTGTGAGAATTTTAAGTTTTTGTTTCTCATTAGAATTCTGTAACTCTCAGGAGGTTTCATTTTTGTCATGATGATGTAGAAATTACTTAATTAAATGTTTAAAAGGATGACATGCAATCTTTCTGACTGTGTCTTGTGTACACAGGGTTCGTGGCGGGGCCACCGTTTGCTTTCCTCAGTTCCCAGAGCACCTTCTGTGGACTCACGCCCAGCCTGATGTGACAGTGCACCTGCAGAGGTGCAGAGATCATGGGCAGTGGCTTTGCTTCTCCTGATATGCCTCCCTCACTGAGGTCTAAGCCAATGCATACTTGCCACGTGATGCTTTAGGAGCAGCCAGCTCTGGAGGACAAAGCTGATCTTGCCTAAACTTAGTGCAGTAGGCCAGGCGTTGGGGCTCATGCCTGTAATCCCAGCACTTTGGGAGGCTGAGGCAGGTGGATCACCTGAGGTCAGGAGTTCAAGACCAGCCTGGCCAAATGGCAAAACCCCGTCTTTACTAAAAATACAAAAATTAGCTGGGCATGGTTGCTCGAACCTGTAGTCTCGGTTACTCAGGAGGCTGAAACAGGAGAATCGCTTCAACCTGAGAGGCGAAGGTCGCACTGAGCCGAGATTGTGCCACTGCACTCCAGCCTGGATGACAGAGCAAGACTGTCAAAAAAAAAAGTGCAGCAGTAGGCTGCACATTGAAATCAGGAGGCTGCAGTGCTGGTTCCCGGGCCCCACCCAGTACCAGTGAAATCTGAGTACCTGGGATTGGAGCTTGAACATTGGCATGTTTTAAGAGCCCTCCAGTGATTTGTATCTGCTGCCGTGACCTAGAAGCACTGAGCTACCCCTGAGGAGTTAGTGTTACATTTCTTCAAAAAGGCCCTGTTTCTGCCTGCTGCCCTGGGCCCATCCAGTTCAGCATTTCTCTTGGATTTTTCTTTTTCTTTATTTTTTTCTTTTTTCTTTTTTTTGAGACAGAGTCTCACTCTGTTGCCCAGGCTGGAGTGCAGTGGCAGGATCTCAGCTCACTGCAAGATATCTCGGCAATCTGAGTTCCAGTGATTCTCCCGCCTCAGCCTCCTGAGTAGCTGGGATTACAGGTGTGCACCACCATGCCCTGCTAATTTTTCTACTTTTTTTTTTTTTTTTTGGTAGAGACGGGGTTTCACTATATTGGTCAGGCTGGTCTTGAACTCCTGACCTCATGATCCACCTGCCTCGGCCTCCCAAAGTGCTGGGATTACAGGTGTGAGCCACCACGCCTGGCCAGATTTTTTATTTGTTAACCAACTATTATTGATAGCTGCATTAAAATAACCTGGGATGAGTTTGCTTGTACTTCACTTTTTACTTCAGCTTCTCCAAAGGCTCGCCTATCAGCATGTGAAATACATGTGTAATAGGGAAATGTTCAAAAGAATCATAAATAGAGATGACTTCAGTGATAGGTTATGTTTTATAAAAATATGTTTTGATGAATACTACTCTGAATGGGGCAGAAACAAAGGAAATGTGTCAATACAGGGGACAAAATATTTACATTAAAAATTAGAACCAAGGATATCATTCAGTTAGCAGAATTTGCACTGAGCTCACCAAATTTCTTAATATCTGAAGAGAATATACTGTCAATTGAAAATACTGTGATCTACAGAGAAAAATCAATTAAAGGTGTCAACAATTTCAGATTTATTTGCCATAAAATTTACTTTGAATGCGTCCAAAAACTTCAAAATATAAATCTGTTTTTTAAAAGGAAATTCTTCAGAAAGATACCAGTGGCACTCTTTATTCATGCCAGACTCAGCTAAGAAGCTAATTTAGTCTGGGCACCGTGGCTCACGCCTATAATTCCAGCACTTTGGGAGGCCGAGGCAGGTGGATCACCTGAGGTCAGGAGTTCAAGACCAGCCTGACCAACATAGTGAAACGCCATGTCTACTCAAAACACAAAACTAGCCGGGCATGGTGGTGCATGCCTGTAGTCCCAGCCACTTGGGAGTCTGAGGCAGGAGACTCGCTTGAACCCGAGAGGCAGAGGTTGCATGAGCCGAGATGGTGCCACTGCACTCCAGTCTAGGGGACAGAGTGAGTTTGAGACTCCATCTCAAAAAAAAAAAAAAGAAGCTAACTTAAAAACTTATATAAGGACTAGGAACAATTATTCCGCCTATGTTTTTGCATGTGAAGATAAACCCCATGAAGGAGTTTTTCAACATTGCTTCAGTGTACACATATAAGTTAGTTTGATTTTTTTTAAAGAAATATTTTATTTTGGAAAATGGTTTTTGAATCTAGTTATTTTGTAGGGGGTTTTATATAAAAAACAATTTGTCATCAATAAGTAAATATTTCCAAAAGTAATATAATTTTAATTATTTTGGTGTCCTCTTTCACTCACAAACATGTCCCAGTTTGGAAAATAAATGATGTGGTCACCCTAGTTATAGCCAATAATTTTGAAGATAATTGGAACCTCTTCCAAGGAGTCCATTGTCTACAAATATTGTATGTGTGCTGTGGGAAGTGGGGAGGAAGGGGTCAGAGGGAGTGAGATGGCCGAGACACTCAAAGGCTACAGTGTCATCAGAATTGTCTGCATGGGCTGCTGGGCGCAGTGGCTCATGCCTATAATCCTAGCACTTTGGAAGGCCGAGGAGGGTGGATCACCTGAAGTCAGGAGTTCGAGACTAGCCTGGCCAACATGGTAAAACCCTGTCTCTATAAAAATACAAAAATTAGCCAAGCATAGTGATGGGCGCCTGTAATCGCAGCTACTTGGGAGGCTGAGGCAAGAGAACCACTTGAATCCGGGGGGCAGAGGTTGCAGTGAGCCAAGATTGCACCACTGCATTCCAGCCTGGGCAACAAGAGTGAAACTACATCTAAAAAAAAAATTGTCTTCATGGGCTGTGGTGCCATCAGAATTGTCTGCACGGATGTTTGAGTCAACAAGGACAGTGACAGGAGCGGGGATGGAGAGAATATAGCCAGGCTCTGGCACCTTCAGCAAATGAGAGGAAGTGACCCACAGATTGGTAGGAGGCAGCAGTGACGGGCTTGAGGGCCTGAATACAGTCTGAGGCAAGATCTTCAAGGGAGCTGGGACTTTGACGGAGGAAAGAAGGGGACACAGAGGAAGGTGCAGTGGAGCAAAGGGCAGACCTAGCCCCATTCCAGACCCAGAATATATGGGGTGACAGAAAACCAACAGCCTCCACTTGGGAGTTTGCAAGAGACAACCTGGTTTCAAATCAGCAGGGCAGGAAGCTGAAGGGGCTGAGGCTTCTGGGAGCTTGGTGACACCAGAGAGGAGCTCCCTGAGTCCCATGGGGGAGGCAGAGTGGGGAGTGGGGTGAGGTAGAATCAGAGTTTGCACAGAGCAGTTTGGAGATAAAAGTTCTGAGGATGTTGGATGAGTGAGAGGCTTGGATATGACTGTCACCTCCCACAACCTAAACTGTGCCTAATGTTGCTGAAGCAGGGCTAAGATCTTGACACTAGAGACAGAGCCTTAGAGACAATCCATGTCAGTCCCTCAAATTGCAAAAGAGGAAAGCCAGGCCACAAGAAGGTTGTACAGATATGGAGGTACAGAACCAGAATTTGGATCTGTCTGCTCACCTATTGGCCCATGTGACCCCAGTCCCTCCCTATCCCCACCCGCCTTGGTTCTGCCCACTTCCGGGCTGTGGTCTAGCCTTGCAGAGCGATTTGCACCCAGTCTTCATTCCTGCAGACTCTGGACCCAGTCTCCTAAGACAACTGCACCTTTCATTCCGTGGTCTCAATAGAAAAATCTGTGACATTACTGCTGTTGAAACATTTTTTAAAAAAAAATTTAAAAATCTCTTCCAGCTGGGAGTGGCGGCTCAGGCCTGTAATCCCAGCACTTTGGGAAGCTGAGGCAGGCGGATCACCTGAGGTCAGGAGTTCAAGACCACCTTAAGCAATGTGGAAAACCCCCCTAAAAATACAAAATTAGCCAGGAGTGGTGGCACATGCCTGTAATCCCAGCTACTCAGAAGGCTGAGGCAGGAGAATTGCTTGAACCCGGGAGGTAGAGGTTGCAGTGAGCCAAGATCATGCAATTGCACTCCAGCTTGGGCAACAAAAGCGAAACTGTTTCAGAAAAGGGGAAGGGAGGGCATGGGAGGAGAAGGGAGGAGAAGGGAGGAGAAGGGAGGGGAGGGGAGGGGAGGAAGGGAGGGAGGGAAGGAGGGGAGGGAGGGAGGAAAGGAAAAGAAAAAGAGAAAAAGAAAGAAAGGAAAGAAAAAAGAAAGAAAAAGGAAGGAAGGAAGGAAGGAAGGAAGGAATCTCTTCCATGCCCTTTCCCCTCAAACTCAACCAGCACAAGCACACAAGGGCCACTGGGCCAGCTTCTGTGTGCGTATGATGTCTAAACTTCACTTGACTTCATGTTCCCATTTCTCAGCAGTTAAAGCCCTTTGGCAGACTTTTCTTTGCTGAGACTCGAAGTTTTGCAACAAAGGCTCTGCTAAAAACTTTCTAGCCAAACTGTCAGTGTTCAGAGGTTTCTTGTTTCTCTGGGCTCTTTAAACCTTTTGAACAGGACAAAACTCTCATAAAGCAAGCTTCCCAGCAGCAGTCTCAAGGGGCCAGCATGGGTTTACAGACAAGGTAGTGTGTCTGTGTCCAAGGATATTCTAGCTTAGAAAAGGAATTTCCAAACAACAATGTTTTCCAATCAAAATCCTAAAAGAAGATCTTCTCTTAGATCACCAATATATAAATGTAGTAAGCAGGAAATATGCTTGAAAGCACGAAGTCAATTACCTTGAAAAGAGACATTTATGCAAGTAATACCTTTGAGGAATTCACAGCCCAGTGAGAAACCACACACAAACAAATAATTAAAATCATACAACTGCTATCGAGGTATCATGCACCAAGTGCATGACTGGTGATTGCAAACAATCTCATGAGAAATAAAGTTGGAATAATCCCTGACAGCATTTGTCATATGCTGGGTGCTGTTCCAATGGCTTCATATATATTAACTCACTTATCCCTATGCTTTGCTGAGAAAGAACGCCTGAGTCCATTTTATGCTGGGATAACAGAATACCTAAGACTAGGATGGTGAGAGAGAGAAAG